TTCCATAATCCTTGGGTCATTATATATACCTATGCACTAAAAATTACAAATACTTTAAACACATGCATTCATCTTAATTAAATCAGTGATTTATCTTCATATAACAAGTAGGGTTTTTACTATATATATATAATTACTGTTACTAACAGCTCTACTTTAACTTTGTTCTATGGCCAATTCTTACTTTCACCAAACTGAAATTCACATGGAAAGAAAGCTTACGATTACTTGTAATACCCAAAGCTATATCTAGTTTCTATAAGTAGCGTGAACTGTAAATTTTAATTCGTTTTGAAAGAGTATGGGAAAATCCAAGAAATGATCCTCAAAAGAAAAATGGAAGTGTTTTCCTTTTCTTTTTACATAGATATTATGTATATTAGGCATAACACAAATCACTTCCAAAGAATTTAATTTTTGCTCCCTCCCAAAACACTAAAATAGGGCAAAATAAATTAAATAGGCATAAACTCCTAAGAATAAAGAAAGCAGAACAGACAACAGCAGAGGCCAGAGCGCAACAAAACTGGAAGTCGGCAAGCAAATCAATGGATGGCGTCTGTCTTGGCAGACTGGAAGCTAAAATCTCCAGCTGCCGGGAAGATCAGAAGTGAGCAGATTTGCACTAGTAAACCGTCGGATGGCTCAGGAATTGGAGGTGCTGGGTACTTCAGAAGCGTGGGTGCACAGCAGAGCTAACAGCAGGAGGCAAACTGGTAGTGTCTGTAAGAAACAGACCCCCAAGCTGCATTCTGCTCCTTCCTCACCACACAGCCAGAGAATTACCCCGCCCCTACACTAGCTGAAGACAGGAGGGATTGAACCATAGGACTCTGATCTTGTGGATACACGCCAACTTACGGCAGGGATAAAGTGCTGTACTGAAAAACTCAAGTGAAAATCTATACACTGAACTGGGAGAAATGCAGCCCCTGTATTCTGCCCAGGTCCCCTAACATGGACAGCCAGGAGTATGGTCCCAGGAAGGAGTTAAGAGGACTCTTCTCTGCTGGAAAACTAACCATCTCCTCCCTCAAAATTACTAGATACTGATATTTAGGGTTACCCTACAAAAAGGACAGGCTGACACCTTCAGCACTCAGTGAGGACCACCCACTGACAAGATCCAACCAGGTATGTGGAATTTCCAATGGGCCTTTAGTGCCTCAATCTTAAACATGAGTAGACCAAGTTCATCATAAATCTGAAGAAATCTTTCAGGATGAAAAACAAAAACAAAAACAGAAAAAGGAAACTCAGAGTCAACAGATCACTCAAGAAAACTTCAAAATTAGAGGACATGTTGTATCCATGAAACAAACAGGAGATTATAAATATGGAACATTTAGAAAACAAGACAGAGCCTTTGAAAGTAAAATATGATTGCAGAAGTGCAAAATTCAACACAAGATTCAGAAAATAAAGATGAAATACCCCAGTAATTAAGAGGAAAAAGGCAATTAGACAGAAAATTGCAAGATAAATTATAAGAAAAGTAGTCATTCAACTAATCTTCATTGAACGCCTGCTTTGTGTCAGACACTGGCCTGGGTATTCAGGGTACCCATGACTCAGTGAGCAAGCCAGCTGAATACCCCTGCCCACCAGGACTTCGTACGTTAGTTGAAGGAGGCTGAAAATAAACAATAAACATAATAACTCAGTCAATTACATAATATGTCAGGAGATGCTTTGGTCGAAAAAGAATAAAAATTGAGCAGAATAAGGCGATTAGGAGGGTTAGGAGGGCTTTTTGTTTTGGTTTTTGTTTCCATTTTAAGTAGGATGATCAGGGTATACCTCATTAAGAAGGAATACTTGGGGCAAAGACATGCAGGAGGTGACAGAAACAAGAAGCAACAGCTAGTGCAAAGGCCCAGAGGCATGTTCGAGGCAGAGCAAAAGGGCCACTGTGCTGAAGCCAGGTGAGCTAAGAAGGATTAATAAGGGGATGATGCCAGAGCAATTGCAAGACTTCAAAGGCAGTGAGCCTTTGCAGGCTAAGCTATGGACTTTGACTTTTTTTTGAGTCAAATATGGTGCCCCTGGAGGATGTTCCGTAAAGAAGTGCCAACTCTGGCTTTTAAAAGGAGTATATGGCTGCAAGGTGGAGGCAGAGAAATCTAAGAGCAACGCTGCGCAGTGATCCAGGTGAGAGATGGTGATACCTGGGACCAGAGTAGTAGCAGCTGAATAGTTCTTTTAAGGGAGGATGCAGATGTTGATAAATTAAAGAAATCAGCAGTGGTAAATAAACATGTGTACGGCCACTGCTGAACAAAAATATTGTATAAGTTCACACTACTATATATAAAATAGATCAACAAGGACTGATTTTACAGCACAGGGAACTATATACAATTTCTTGTAATAAGCTATAATGGAAAAGAATCTGAAAATATATGTGTATATATATGTGTGTGTATACATATAACTGAATCACTTTGCTGTACACCTGAAACATTGAAAATTAATGACACGTCAATAAAAAATAAAATTAAAAAAAACTAGTGTAACTTAAACTAGCAGAAGAAATCTCTAGTACCCAGTGAAAAAGAGGAAAAGAGAAAAAAATTAATGGATCCAGGGATATAAAACAGAAAATGAGGGAGAGGGGATAGCTCAGTGGTAGAGCACATGCTTAGCATGCATGAGGCCCTGGGTTCAATCCCCAGTACCTCCTCTAAAAATAAATAAGTGAATAAACCTAATTACCTTCCTCCCTCCAAAAAAATTAAATTAAATTAAAAAAATTTTTAAACCAGAAAATGAATTATTTGATTTCATTTTTATTTACTTGCTACTAGTTTCTATGTCTGAAATAAACCCATATTACTTTTTAAATTGTGAAAATTTAGCTTTTGTTCTAAGGGTCAGGCCCTCCTATGTCTCACTTCAGAAAATTCGACTTGGGCTCCTGGAGCCCCTTCATCAGCCTGGAGTCTAACATCTAGAAGCAGAATCGGGGTTAGGGGGAAGGGATGGCTAAAGTGAGGAGGAAGGAGGTAGGGGCCCATCTCTTTGATTTTGCTCCTTAACTGGTCCTCTGACTTTGCTCAAAATTTCTCTACCCAAGGTACTCCTGCCCTAGGACTGGCTCAGTGCTTCCTACAAACCAGGCAGCCTGCCTAGAACAGGGGCCACAAACTCAAGTACTTTTGGGGTCCATCAGGTAGGAGATGTGACAAGGTTGTAAATGTTTCATTATATTACAAATTGGGAGTGCAGAGAAAATGCGGGTCTTAGGTTTGTTCCCCAGGAGCAGGCCATGAGATGAGCTTTTGTGTACAAGTGATTTATTAAGGAGGGCCTCCTGAAGAAGCCAGGAAAAGGATGGAGAAGAAGGACAGGGAAGGGGAAGAAACCAAGCAAGCGTTCAATTTCTCCTGGAGCCCCAAGTCTAGTTTTTCAAAACGAGTCCCTGCAGGGCCTGGCCCTTAGCACAGAAGCACATACAAGCCAATACAGTGGCACCAGAATCAGTGTAAGAGGTTTAACAGGAGCTGGGGGATGTACTGCCATGCCTGCAAGATTTCTTTATGTTGATTCTACTCAATACGATCTACCTTATGATCCCTCTCCCTTTGGTTTATGGTGGGGGTGGGGAGCAGAGGCGGAGGTAAAAATTTAACTGTTAGTTCTGTCTGGCTTAAAAATTGTAGTCTGTTCACTTAATTTAACTGTGTCTTTAGTTGGTGCTCAGCTCTCTCAGATAGAAATGTTTCTCAGTTACTCCTTCCCTCCTTCCTTCTCTTAAGATTGTATCTTGAGGTATGGGGGGGTAGAGTGTCTTATACACTCCTATGGTGACAGAGAAGGGCCAGTGTGTCCTGTTGAGGTGTCCTTTGACGTCTCTGGCCTCTGGGACCATGACCTGGTCCTGTTAGCAGGTTGCCTGGATGTCATTCCCTTCTGATTTGTTCTCTTTGTCAGACTGGTCACAGTCTGGGGTGATCCCCTCCTGACTTGGCATCACATTGACCTTCATGAACTGTAGACTCCTGGGTCTGTGCCACATTTTTCCCTCCAGCCTTTGGGCTCAGCAGTCAGAGGTTCATTTCCTGTCTACTTATTCTGACCATCAACTTCCAACTCACCCACACTGGTATGGGGAGCCCCAGGAGCAAAAAATTTTTTATTGTGGCAAAGAATATATAACATAAAACTTGTCATTTTAACCATTTTAAGTGTATAATTCAGTAGCATTAATTTGATTCACAGTATTGTATAATCATCACCATGATTTCTAAAACTTTTTCAACATCTGAAACAAGTTCTCTTCACTACACCCTCTTCCCAGCCCTGGTCATCTCTAATCTACTATCTCTGTAAATCTGCCTATTCTAAACATTTCATATAAGTGTAATCATAGAATATTTGCCTCCTGTGTGTCTGGCTTATTTCACTTATCAGAGTGCTTTCAAGATGTATCCACGTTACACCTCCTACACTGCTGATGGGAATGTAAACTGATGCAGCCACTATGGAGGACAGTATGAGGTCCTTTAAAAAACTAAAAATAGACTTACTATATGATCCAGCAATTCCACTCCTGGGCATGTATCTGGAGGAAACTATAATTCAAAAAGACACATGTACCCCAGTGTTCATAGCAGCACTATTTACAATAGCTAAGACATGGAAACAACCTAAATGTCCATTGACAGATGACTTGATAAAGAAGTTGTGGTATGTTTATACAATGGAATATTACTCAGCTATAAAGAATGAAACAGTGCCATTTGCAACAACATGGATGGACCTAGAGATTATCATACTGAGTGAAGTAAGTCAAAGGAAGACAAATATCATATGATATAACTTACATGTGGAATCTAAAAAAAATTATACAAATTCTATTTACAAACTAAACACAGATTCATGGACATAGAAAACTAAACTGGTTACAAAAGGGGAAAGGGTGGGGAGGGATAAATTAGGGGTTGAGACTAACAGATACACATTACTATATCTAAAATAGATACACAACAAGGACTTACTGTATATAGCACAGGGAATTACATTCAATTTCTTGTAATAACATATACCGGAAATGAATCTGAAAAGAAAAAAACATATATGTATGTAAATGTATAAATGGATCACCTTGCTATACACTTGAAACTAACATTGTAAATCAACTACATGTCAATAAAATTAAAAAAAAGTACCCATGTTATAGCACGTATCAGAACTTCATCCTTTTTTATGGCTGGATTATCTTCCACTGAAGGTATATACCTCATTTTGTTTAACCATTCATCTGCTGACAGACACTTGGGTTGTTCCCACCTTTTGGCAATTGAGATTAATGGTGCAGTGACCACTGGTGTACAAGTATCTACTTGAGTCCCTATTTTCAATTCTTTTGGGTCTATACCTAGTAGTGGAATTGCTGGGTCATGTAGTCATTCTATGTTTAGCTTTTTGAGGAACTGCCGAACTGTTTTTCATAGCAGATAAACGTTTTATATTCTTACTAACAATGTATGAGAGTTCCAGTTTCTCTACATCCCTCACCAACACTTGCTATTTTCTGTTTTGTTTTATTTTGTTTTGTTTGATAACAGCCATTCTAGCAGGTGTGTGAAATGGTTTTGATTTGCATTTCTGCTGACTGATGACATTGAACATCTTTTCCTGTGCTTACTGGCCACTTGGAGACCTTTGAAGAAATGTCTACTCAAGTCCTTTGCCCATTTTTAAACTGTGCTGTCTGTTCTTTTGTCAGAGGTGGATTTTAAGAGAAGTACAAGGACAAAGGACCCTTGTACGTTCGTGTAGGCCTTAAAGAATCTACAGAATCTCTCTGAAGAAAGGAGGACCTGTAGGACATGCTCATATCCTGGACTGAAGGTCTCTTATGCCTCTATATTCTTCCTTGAATTCTCAGTGCTAAATAAAGTGGTGCTTTTTTTTTTACCTTTCCTACAATGTACTCTCCTTCTGTCATCAAGAATAATAGGTAAATTCTGAGCTGGGTTTTCCTGGCCTCAGCCTAGAGAATTTATTCATTTTTTTACATATCCAGATCACCTGAGTATGTTGCTAAACTGCAGATCCTGGTTCAGCTGAGCTTTAAACAAGCTCCCAGCTGATGCTAACGCTGTAGGTTCATGGGTTACACTTTGATTAGCCAGGTCTCAGAGGACAATTTACACATTAAAAACAGTTTGTGAAGATTCCCCCAAATGGTTCCTGGGCCCAATATCGGTTTAGCAAGCAGCTTCCACACTTGAAAAACAAAAGGATATTATTAGGACGTCACTAAAGATTTCTACAGAGTGCCTTGCACAGGAGTCCCAAACTCAAGTGCTTACGGGGGTCAGTCTGGGGCTGGATGGAGACCACCCAGCTGGAGATCCTCTGCTTGTCTACAGGGAGCACTGCTCTTGACCTACAGCTGACGGTTCCCGGATAGAAATGCTGGCCCAGGGCACCCACATAGTCCATTTTTTAAAAAAAAGAAAAGTAGGATGCAGAGAATTTTTGGTGAAATTCTCTGATTTCTAAATGTTTTCAATTAATTTTTTTCCTCAAACATCCTTCAAGCTAAACAAAACAAGCCTGTTGGGCAGATGCAAACAAAGTTCAGGGTGCTTGCTTATTCTTTCTGGCTCAGCGTTTTGCTAGATCCTCAAAAGATACAGAAGAAGACATAGTTTCAGCTCTTAAGGTGAGTATGGCCTTGTTGGGAGCAAAGATATATGCACATGAAATAGCCATGGAGCAATGCGAAGACGTGCCTGCAAGTGTGAGAAGAAAAGAGATCCAAGCCATTACAGGAAGCTGTGAAATCAGGCCCCTGTGAAAGTGGAGATGATGCTCTGTCACTTGCTGTCTCGAAATTTTTTACAGTTAAAATTACTCCTGATACATTCTCTATTGACTTACACGCAAAATGGGAGTGACATTTTTTATCACACTTCTATGTGATGAGATTACGCTGGAGAGACTAATTAAATGAGACAATAAATGTAACGTTCAGCAAAATGCTTGGCTTCATAGGTGCTCGTTAAATGTTAGTTTCTCCCACCTGCCCTTCTAGATCTTGGATCTCGAGGAATGGAAGTATAATCACTCTCTCTAACATACACACACACGTTGGTATCATGTTTGGAGTTTGTTCCTTTATCAAGCAGCCATTTTTTTTCTAGTTTCATTAAGTTATAACTGACATATAACATTGTGTAAGTTAAAGTGTACAATGTGATTTGATATACATACATATTGTGAAGTGATTACCGAAATAGAGTTAGTTAACATCTCCATTATCTTTTTTGGGGGGATGAGAACATTTAAGATTTACTCTCTTAGCAACTTTTAAGTAGTTTACAGGATTGTTAACTACAGTCACTGTGCTGTACCTTAGATTCTCAGAATTTACTCGTCTTGTAACTGTAAGTTTGTACCCTTTGACCTACGTCTTCCCATTTCCTCCACCCCCCCAGCAGCTGCCTTATTGTATGACTTGAGTGTAATGAAACCTTTATGCAGCACACGAACAAATGCAGTTAATTAGTCTTACTAGAAAATGGTAGGCAATCTGAAACAGACACAAAAATGGGATAAAACTTACTTATTTTTGATTTAATAGTTGTCAGAATTAGTCAAGTCATAAATATGCATAATTTTTTTCATTTGCTATTTTAAAAGTACTTATTCTTAGCAGTTCTTTAATATTAATTTCATGCTAAATGAATCGTTATGAAATACTTACAAGGAAAATCATTTTTAAGCCATGTGCTCATTTTAAAATGTAATTCATTATTTTTTGCAGGCAATAAAAATGTGCCATGTTAGTTACAAGACAACATGATTGATGGGAATGCATGCTCTGAATAGGAAGGCATTTTTTTACTGAACTAAAGAAAATCTGACTAAAACCGCTTTTATATATATATATATATATTTTTTCCAAATAGAGTATATTATTGCTTAATGGAAAAAGGACAGATTTTTGTTTTCTGGGAATTCTATGTCAGAGTTTGCACAATGATAGAGTTGTTTATCCTTTCTACAATATTCACAGAATCTTAGTATGTGGATAAGAGCCTCCCACCTTCCTGTCTTTTGAGGTGATTAGACCCCTCCTCCCCCTCCCTTTTTTGAATGAAACTTGCCTCTGTCTTGAGTTGTCTCATTTTGACAACTGTGTATCTACTGAGCTATGCTGCTGGAAGAGACGATGATTAATTAAAGGAAGATTCCCTTCACTAGACTAAGCTTCGCAAGAGCAGAGAATATGTATTTTTTTCCTTTCTTTTCTTTACTTTTCTCTATTCTAAAATAAGTCAGGGTTAGGCAAACCAGGTAATGCCCATGATTACTGGGGACCCAGGGTCCTTCTATTTCTTTTGTTCTGCATCCTTTTTCCAGGATCATTGTCTTTAAGGTACCTTATGGTCAGAGATGACTGGACCTCCAGTAGGAAGCAAGAAAAAGAGGAAAGGGCTAAAAAGGTTGTTGCCTATTGTCTTTGTACCTTTCAAGAAGTCTTTCTTAAGGTCCCACCTTCTCTTTAGCTTCCACTTCTCTCTTACTTAGTTACATGGACACCCCTAAAGCAAGGGAGTCTGGGAAATGTAGTCTTTTTTTAATTGGGCGCACTGCATGGTAAGTAAAAGCAGTGTTCTCTTACTAACAAGGGGAGAGGAAGTAGTAAAATGAGATTAATAAGGACAATCTAATGAGTTTTTTGTGAAGCAAAATTTATTCAATTTATACGACTTCTTTGAGACTCCCTCTCATAAGTTAAATTTTTTTTTAAATTGAAATGATGGTAGATTCCCCAAAGTCTTTATTTGACCAAACATATGTTAACTCTATTAGCCCTCTAATATTAACGACATTTCACTGGCCCACATCTAGGGAACTCCTGGATGGGGGAGGGTATGGCTCAGTGGTTGAGCTCATGCTTAGCACGCACGAGGTCCTGGGTTCAATCCCCAGTGCCTCCTCTAAAATAAATAAACCTAGCTACCACCCCCCTAAAAAACACACACACACAAAGAAACTTCTTTTATCTCTCATATACTGCTGATCGAAGTATAAATTGGTCCAACTGGGAACTCCAGGATTACATAGGTGAGCTGTGAGAGTTCTCCCAACTCCAGGTGTTTCGGTATCCGGAACACAGCCTATATATGCTTTATGCCTTCTGTTTGGGAAGTTCTCAGGAGGTGTCAATTGATCAATTTATCAAGCAAGTTCAGCCGAAGTGCTAATACTCAGTGACACAAAGAACTGCCATTTCGAGGTCCTTAGTCAGGGCTTGCTTTGCAGAGGGGAAACTCACCAAAGTCAGAATAAGTGAAGGGGTGATTATTGTGAGAATACAGGGGAATCTTATATAAAATTAAGAACAGAAAAATAGTCAGTTTGCCTTAAAATTGGGCTTAAAAATGGAAAGTTGGGAATGGCAACTATCCCCTATCTCTCATGGAATAACATGATCTTGCAACTTTTTTGCTTTTTTCAGACAATCAGCTTTCTTTGCTACATATGCATTTTTTCTTCTCCCAGTAACTTTGGTTGGCATGGGATTTGGCTTCTGTGATGTAGGAGTGGTACAATCAATCTTAGTGCTGAAGTTTCAAATTCCCCTGCAATAGCTTGATCGGCTCAGTGAGGGTCAGGTTAGCATTCCTAGTTCAAGTATCTGTGGCAGGGAGCTGGGCAATCAGTACAAACATGCCTTGCTAAGGTGCATTCTTTCAGCAGAGCCTAGGGAATGAGTGTGAGTGGGGAGGGTGGTGGTACCATGCAACAGTTATAATACATTTCCCTTTTCCATTACTTTCCACCTCTGTTTCCTGGCAGCCCTGTTTCCTCGGCTGCGTTTCCCCCATCAGGGTGGCAGATCTAAGATCTTCACTATTACCTGCACCATTTCTTGAAGGATTTATGCACAAACATTACTCTTACTGTTTTCATCTCCAATTCAACATTCATTTCCTCAGTCAGAATGTTTTCAGAGGAAAGCAGTGTGGTGACTAACATGCACAAGCCTCTGGGGTCACATCGCCCCTCCCTTACTTCTGCCCCACTAAAAACTTGGGAAGTGGTCTGGTACCTAGTCTGGGGCATGGGCAAGAGAACAGCAAGTGATAAGAAACACCAGCACCAGAGTCAATCTCTTTGTATCTGAAGGTGCAACAGAGATTGTGCATCAGTTTCTCTACTGTGAAATTGGAATGCCGCCTACCACATAAGATCACTGTGAGAATTAAAAAAAATAATCAGGCCAAGGAATCAGCCTAGTGCCTGGGATTTAATAAACACTCGTTAAATATTCACCATTAAGGCACTAGAGGCAAATATCAGAGCCATGGCAAGATAATGTCACATGCTGAGGTGCCATATGGGAGATGGAAACTAGGTAGGTGTCTGGACTAATTCTGGAAACATGAGTCTTACTATAATGGCTATAATGCAAGACAGCTGACTCTATTTGTTGAATTTTGGAAGGAACATTTGATTTGACGAACTTTGCAGCACTCAGCTGTGCTGTTTTTCCCTCTAGAATGTAAAGATCCTAAAGGATGGGTTCCATTAGAATGGATTTAATTACGTCTAAGGATGAAAAAAATTTCACCTACACATGCCATTTTTCATTTTTGCCATATTATTTAAGTGTGATTTGACTCTATAGTATAACCAAAATTGTTTCTAGAAACACACATACTCAGTTTTATGAGGCAGTTAAAAATAGGATTCATATCTAAGTATTTGTCTCAGGAAACTTTTCAAACATTTTATAAAGTGATCGTCTCATTACTGCTTACATATTAGGTTAGCTCCATACATATGGATTCCAGATAAAATGAATGTCCTGTAAATATGTATTTGGAAATTTATACTATACATTTTCCCATTTAGGTCTAAATTAGGCTTAAATATGATGTCCTTTCACATATTGTAAAATTGAATGAGCCTAGCAACTCTTTATTAACTATTGAATTAAAAGACATAAAACCACAATATGGCAAGACCCCAATTATTAACGCTACAAACACTAGAAATGATTTTTCAGCAAACATTTATAAAGACCTAAATACCAAAACAGATTATTTTCTCTAAAGAAATACATGGTTTAATTGTTTCCTTTGCTGATAAACACAAAATTTAAACTTGCTCATATTTTTTACCACAAACAAGACTTTCTTCTTACCACCAAGGTGCCATGATGTGTATCACTCAAGAATGTATCTCTGTACACAAAGTCTGCTTTGGATTTACCCACACTGAACCACACATACATCAAAAAAGCACAGACCTCTTCAGCTGGCAGGGAATATTTTCAAGAATGGATTTAACATCTCATTTTTTAATACAGTTGCAGATCCTGACAAATTTGTCTCAAATTCTGGATTGGGTTCCTTTTTATTTCCCTTTAATTAAAAAAAAGTTATATACCAACGTTGTCACTTACAAGCTGCATAAACTTAGTAAGTTATCTAATCTCTGAATTCAACATTCATTGGTAAAAGGGGTCTTCCTTCATTATAGAAGGGTGGGTGTATTTAAATATTTTTATTACATGTGTACATTGCCTGGTAATAAGATTTTCTGAAAGCGCCTGTGAAGTTGCAGTTTTATAAGGTATTGATTTTTTTTTAAATTGAAGCTAAAGGTTAGTTTCCTCAGACATTTCTTTTCCAATTTAAACATCTATGAAAAACCTTCATGCATTACTCAGTTCAAGAATAAAAAAAAATCCACTAAGACACGCATGGAATTTTATAGAAAATGCTGCTTTCCATTTAAGTGATTTAAACTCAGCACTGAACTGATGTAAACCCCAACCAAACACTGTATGTGTTGGGCGGCACCCTGCAGGCCTCCAAGGCCTGTACTCACTCAGCTTCAAGACCAAAGAACCTGGAGTCAGCAACAGAGATATAAATGGTTTAACGGATAGAGAGATCATACGTGTCTGATACCTGGTCCTCCAGCAACTCCCCACTGTGTGTGTAGCAGAGCCCACTACCAGCAGAGGGGCACGGCCCTTGCCGCCCCTTTGATAAGAATAACCACTAGCTGGAGCCTGGGACAAGCATGTAGGGTCTGTCCTCAGTAGGATGTGGGTGAAGGGGGCACGGGTCCAGTATGGATGCACAGATAGCAAGGGAACAGCCACCTTGAGTGGCCTGACTAGGCAGTACGGAACTGATTTTGGTGGTGGCGATGGTGAGGGATATTAACTCAAGAAAGATTCCTTTTTTGTGCGTGACCACACCGAGGAAAATCTATTCTAGGCCTTGTTTAGAGGTGTTCTTGACAAAGACTCAATTTTTCTTTCAAAAAAACTTTCATCTTACCTTCTCTGCATTGTGAGCAGAATCTTGAAATAACTGGGCCACAGCCCATTAAAAGCCCCGGATTTTTTCCTTCCGGGTCCTTCCTGGGGTGCAGCTGCGGCCCTGCGGACACTTTGGGCAGCCTCAGCGGCTCCACCTGCCCGGGGACCGCCTGGCCGGGCCGACTTCCGGCCCAGACCCGGCCCCGCCCCGCCCCGCCCCGCCCCCACGAGGACGAGATTCGTCCGAATTTCCCGCGATGCCGCGAGGACGCGGGGCGCTCGCCAGGCCCCAGAATGCAATGCGGATACGTGTGCGCCGCTCCACTGCCGAGCGACCGCGGGAAAATTCCAAAAAAAGTCTAAACAAAACAAAAAGCCAGTACGAGCAAAGCCACAGTTTCAAGCCGCAAAACCCGGGCGGTGGCAGCCTTTCCGCCAAGGCCTAAACTGCTGAAGCAGCTCTGGCGCGGACCACCCGGTAAGAGAGAGGCCGCAGAACGGGAGCGAAGGCAGCTGCCTCCCTCGGGG